ACTCGTATTAAATGAAAGAACTGTAAGTATTGTGGTACATTTTGTTGGTATATTGTGGGCTCTGTTCACTCGCCCTGACAAGTTTGACTTAAGTATATTTCCATATTTAGTTTGGGTAGTAACCGCGATAAGGAGCGATATAGATAACACGGTGATAGTGTTGAGCTTGCCGTTAGGACAGAGGAGGGTACACGTGAATGCGACCATGTTTACTGACATGATAAATGGAATTGGAACGTCAGCATATCCGGCCGATACGGGTGCTTCACAGTGCTAGTGTCAATACGGACTAAGTCAAGAGCATTGATACTGCTGGCCGATACCTCGCCACTCGAACACGTGACCAGGTGCCTCCTCCCACTTTATTTTCAAACTTAAGCTGAACGTTCCTGAAATATAGATGTAACAACTTATTGTTATATACAATTTTCAAATACTTACATATATTCGACATTATATTGATGAGATTGATTTTGAAGCGAGTGACGAGTCGTACCACCATGAATGTGATTTTTGTTTATGAAAGCCTATTTCAATGCCTACACTTCCATATTTTAGCGAAGAATGAACTCGCTCGAGTGATACTTATGGAAAATAGCGAATACCGCCCCGCGAGGAAACCATTACTGCATACGTATGTATTGTATGAACATATCAACTCTTTGTGATGTTCTTTGCGTTCAGTTAAGCTAATGAAGATAAATACATTTTTGTATTCGTTGTGATCAAATTAATTTTCATTAATCTTTTTATTGATATTAATGACTTTATTAATTTAATTAAACCTGCGAGTATTCATGAACATATGAACATTGCTTTCCTGCACAACGCGCACTCACATTTTTAAAACCAATTAAATAACATAAGAAAGTAAAAAAGAACTGAGAATAAATAAAATTAATTGTATCCGTATTCTTGTTTATATGTTATACAATATTTATAAGTGTCGGTTGACAACTTCAATATTTGAGTCCCGCGAAACTAGCGCGCTTTTGTTTCGCTCCTATGATATGACGCCGAATGCGATACATCCATTCGCCTATTTTCGCGGTATTTTAATTCCAAAAGTCTCGTACTTTATTTAGGTAGTGGCTCCTAGAACTACAGGAAAATTATATTAGGTATCTTGTATTTATGGTAAGTTGTGCATATAGAGTTGTGTAAGCAATATGCACGCATTGTATTATAATGTTCTTCGAGGGCAATTTTGCTAAAATGTCTGCTTGTCTAATAAGTCAGTCCTTAAAAGCGACTACCGAAGGTTTAAGCATCCCACAAACTTTAAAACTCTTTTAATCTTAATTATGTTATTTAGGAAAAAAATTATTCGCGACAAAAAAGTTTGAACAAGCTTTGGTGTCGAACGCTGCTTCAAGACTTTCTTTAGCTCCGCAACTCAAAGTTTAGTAACGAGGATATTGTACAGGAAATGACGAAACAGATTTACTTTCCATTTAAAATTCCATTTCATAATTTGGTCATCATCAACCTGCCCTATCCCTACGGAGCGGACGCTCGGCAGAGTATGTAATCATCCATTATTCATGTAACTATTCCTTACCATCTATGGTATATAGAAGTCGCCTGTTGTACCTTCCTTTTGTAACCATTTCCATGTGTCGCTAGCTTCACCTAGTCATGGTAGCTTCGCTCTTTCGGCGAATTCAGATGGCCGCGTGCTCGTTTGCTAAGTTATAATATATAAAAAAGTAACGTAGGTGAATATCTATGCACAAACATTGCTTTATTAATGAACAGCTTTAGAAGATTTAGTAATTGCTATAAGTTAAGTAAAGCCCGCCAACTTCCCTAATCCCACAATGATCAGACAGCTTTCAGTTCGCGCCGTATAATTACAGACATTATTCCAAAGTTCAGCCGCAGCGCGCACTATGACGAACACGAGGGATTACTTTAAATAAATAAAGTCGGTGCAGGGCGCGCGTCTGCGGCGCGGGCGGGGGGATACGTTCACCGCTCGCAGCCCGCCGTTGGTACCGAAATAGCCGCGCAACAAAACCAAAATACAAACTAAGTATATTTAAAGTTGGTGCAGGTGGAGACTACATGTTCGCATTTCCTTGTATACATACGTTGCCGTCCCGCTTATAGATCAATTGGCCCAATATGACTTTTTCCCCTTGGGCCGATTAATCGATGACACGAGCTTCCCGAAGCCATTAGGATTTTATCTATTTCTGCTGTTTATTAATAAAGGTGACATTTCTCCGGTGAAACGTCACTTTGTGAATTAATACGTTCATACTCAATTCAAACATATATATACGAGTATATAGGTACCACAACGCAGCTTGAGTATTGTGCACGGTTCATTTTTTATTGTGATGTCAACACTGTCGACAGTGAGTAAATTTTAAATAAATAGCGTACGTAATGCAATTAACAAAAGCTATTGTGTAGGCCCGTTCCCTTATGTTTGACACAAAAGAAGTTCGTGTTCAATATTATATATAAATAGGTATCTAAACATAGCAAGCTGTTGGTCGTGACTTTCTGCGCGTCAAATTAAATATTAAAATGTTTTATCAATTTACAAAATATTTTTTAATATGTGCACGTTAAACAAAACCATTTAAACTGTCCCGATCGAACAGTTGACCACACGAGCTGCGGGCGGCCTTTTACGGGCGGGTAACCGGCTCGGGCCAACACTGCTCTGAATGAAACAATAACTTAAGTACTTGGCGATAGTAGTAGTAAAATTCACAGCAGCTGTTAACTGTTGCACGAATACTTAGTCGCTCGACAAGTACAGGACATTGTGGTATACAAGCACGTATAAGACAGGCGTCAGGTGGAAGTGATTCCGCCTGCAGTCCAAGGAGTGCGTGTGGCGGAGCCTGACGGTGAGAAGGGCCATTGGATGTTATACTTCCCCTCATCAGTTTCTACTGTACATACATGCTCTCTATGTACAAGCTCTCCTCTGTTTTTTTATTGAGGTTTAAATCGGATTTGCAACCTTCTAAATTATTGCTGATATAAACATTTATGCTCTTCGCTTTTTCCACTTTGTAATAAAAATATAAAACTTTTTTTTTGTTTTTTTTTTTCAGAGGGGAATGCTTTAGGCATACTCCGTGCCTCGGGGAAGGCACGGTTGTTATGTGGGATTCTCTCCCCGAATGGGAGTATGCCCACTAAACCCCCCTGTTCCTTCGTAGCCATAATGTGGGACACCACGGGATCGTGTTAACTTACCACCGCGACGCCCCACTGACCACGAGCTCCTCCTCAGAGACGACACCGTGCAATGCAGGTTCGGGATTCCCCGCCCTCGCCCGCTAATGCCGCCTAGGGTTTATAGAGACCCACCTCTTGGCCCCCGTCTTCATCAAGACAGAGGCCCGCGGTGTCGGTGGTCATGGTCCACCCAGTAAAAAAAAAGAAAAAAAACTGGTCAAGTGCGAGTCAACTCGCGCCCCGAGGGTTCCGAACAAACCTGTAGGTATAAGTAAAAGTTCACCTATCACTACAATCGAGTCATAGTTAAAAAGAATAAGGAGTTTATAATTTAACAAAATAATATGTGATATAACAAAATGTTTAAGGTTTTTCGGAATTTCATGCTATATACATATGTGCCACATATGCTATATATAACACCTTGCTTCATGCCAATTTTGAAGAATCTAGGTAGAGTGGGAGTACCCTTTAGGTTTTGGATTTCTTGCAAGTAGTTACGAGTTTAATATGCGGATTAAATTGTTACAGCCTAAAGGTATTATTGACATGAGTATTTGATATGAATTTCAATTTAATATCTATACCCCTTCCCGAGGAAGGGGGAGAAGGGGGGAATTTTAGTTTTTTGAATTTTTTCTTTATATGTGCTGTAACACCTTGCTTCATGCCAAATTTCAAGATTCTAGGTCGACTGAAAGTACCCTATTACGCAATTATTTTTTTTTATATGATGTCTCACGAAAGTTTGAATAATTTAATATTTGATTGTGGTATACGTGCGTGTACGTGATAAGTGGCAATGGAAACACTCACATTACCCTCGTTGCGTTGTCCACGACCAGATAAAATTATTATCAACTTACAAATTATAAGATTAACGCAATCGGTCGTCGGCACCCGCTCGACGACGCAAACATAATTTTGTTTAGTTAGATATATAAAAAAAGTTGACTTAACGTCATTCGGCTACTAATAAAAAGCCGGCCGCGACCGTCGGAGTTGCGTTGCACACCGTGTTACAAAACTCCAATGCTCTCCTCCACTCCAATCCGCATGCTTCCAATACATTGTTGCGATGCCTTGGTGGATAGATAAAAATTCCTCGTAAATAAATAGTCGACGGTCGCGCTAACAATTCGTAAATATAAAACAAGAGCAAAATGCAAACGCTCAGTGCTGTTAAAATAGGTCATGGCCAAATATTCCGCTAACGACACGCAAAATCACGCAGATATGGCTACGCTCTTAGAACAATCTGGACCCGAGCGGATTGTAAGTATAATATATATATATATATAGAGGGGTTTCCGCACGTAGCGACAACTCCTGCTGGTGCTCTTTCCCCTCTGTAATGTCTAATTACCTGCATTCGTAAAAATAGCTAAGAATAATATGCTATAAATCAAAAATAAGCTACAATCAATTAAAGTTATTTAGCTCATGAGTCAGCAAGTCCGAATTCCGAAAGTTCTCTTTGCTAATTTACTACAACCATTTGCCAGATGCCGAGGCGAAAGACCGCGGCCAACCGCCGCCCCTACCGCCTGCCGCCTGCCGCCTGCCGCCTGCCGCCGAGTCGCCGAGCCACCGCGCCGCGCCGCACGCCGCCGGTACAAGTTACCTTTCACAAAACTGCATGCCGCGCTCGAGACAAGGAGAGATCGAGTTTGTAGTTTGTAGGGCAAGCGGAGCGCGTAGGGCCCCGCGCCTGCCGCTCCCTGCTCCCCGCTCCCCGCTCCCCGTACCTCCCCGCCGTGCTGCTCCCCGCCGCTCCGCCACCGCGCCGCCTTGCCAGTCAGCCGCTGGCCGCCAGACGAGATGGATTTGTTGTGGATACCCGCAGCGCTTTAACGTAAAATAAAATAAACGTCGCGAGTGATCGTGGCTAGTGATAGTGTTGGTGTATTGTGTATACGTCTAGTCGCCGCATGCGACCTGCGGTGCTGTGCTGTGTGTCATACATACCGGACAGAAAGCGGACGAACGGATCCCGACAGGACTGAGACGCGGCCCCGACTCGCACGCACGCTTTACTGTCTCAACAGGTGACCTTACTTACACTTACTTTTACCAATGAACATTAGCTTATAGAAAATCATCTTGACACATAAGAATGGCAATATTGTCTTCTCTACGACGACTACACGTGAAGATAAGTCACTAACGGGTGACGCGAGGTGAGGTAAGCAGAGATAGCGCGCTCCGCGCTTACGGATAAACGCCTTTCGCTGAGCTAGTCAGGCAGGTCTGGTTAGGTCCTGTGCGGTGCGGAGCGCTGCGGGGCGACCGAACTCGAACATACCGTGGCCCTGCCAACGTCTCCACCCAAATGTTATCATTAATAACACGCATTTTGTTTGAATGAACAGAAACACCGTGATAATAACAATAACGAATAAAGAGCTATAACAACAGTTAATGCAGTATGTAATAGACAGAAAACCTATCTTTTGCTCACTACAGATGAAGAATTACAGTAGCTTAGATATGCTACAAATCCAAACAAAACACTTTACTTTTTATATTATACATGTGGGCATAGAGTACTCTGTGGACTGTAGTCATAGCAACGCATTTAGTCAAATTTCACTCAAAAAAATTAATAATAAGTAATTATAAAGATATTTCATGAATTATTTATTAGAAAAATAGCCTTTTTTCCGGTCGCAGATGCCTTACGGCTGCCAGAATGAAATTATATTTTTTTTAAATAAGGTATACATTTTTACTTTATTAATCGCTAGAATGACGTACAAAAACTTTGACACCAGATTGTCGACTCTTGACGCTGGCGCCACCTACTTGAACCTTTCGTTTTGCTCCCCATTTTTATGTTTCTGTTTCTTGGAAGACCTTACACGCAACTATGAAAAATCGGTCTTGTAAACACTCTCAATTCTTACTAATCTTACTGATATTAATAATGCGCATGCTTAGATAGATGACGCGCATTATGTAGAACGCCATCCCAATTATTGGTCAGACTGGCTTCAGTGGTTGTCTACTATATTATTGGCCAGTTGTATGAAAGCGCTGATTTCTAGCCCGACTTACTTACTGAGCTGGCTTAATGTAAGCGATGCATAAGTCGAAGTTATTCTATACATTGAAACATTTACGTGGTCAACAAACACATTTGAGTTATATATAAAAACCGGACATTATGATCTGAACCATTTGTTGTAACAGATAAACTATATACCTAGTGGTGGAGTTGGCCACGCCGCGCCGCTACCTGCCGCTACCTGCCGCTACCCGCCGCTGTGTTAAATAGTTAAATAAATAAAAGCACTAAAATTACATTTCAACAAAATTTCACAATCTGCGGGGTTACGTTCAGAAACGAAACGCGATCCCGCGTAGCTATGTGGAATAACTATTTGTATGAAGCTGTGGGGTTAGGTTCTAACATATCCACAGTTATTAAACAATGTTGGGTTAGTTAGAAGAATGCTTAAACTAGTTGAAGTACACACTGTAACTTCTTATAATATTTGAATGTCTTCGGTGCACAAAGTACGTACCTAGTTTTATTTGCCATATTAAAAGCTTTTGAGCGTAAGTACATGGTCAGTGTCAGTAGAGTTGCGTTGTGACTACAACATAACGAAACTAAACAAGCAAAATCACGACATCGTTCCTGCTCGGTTCCACTCCATCCCGCTGCCTTTTTTCGTGACAATACATTAAAATGTTACAAATTCTTACGGTTCCTGCGATTGATTTTGCTTTGCAAACAAAAACAAGGCCTTTACGAACGAAATTATTGTTAATTTAGTAAACCTGTTTTTGCCTCCCGAAAAAACCCGACAAAAACATATTGTTATACTAATGGACGATCGAGAATCCGTCCGCGCGATATTAAAAAAACAAAATTAGCTGCCTATGTGTTCTTTTAAACTATATTCTATATGTAAGCCAGATTTCATAGAGATCTATTTAGCCGTTCTGGAGATATCTTCAAAGAAACATCCATCCATCTAAACATTCGCATTTAAAATATCAGTTAGAAGTTTAATTGGTAAGGTTATATTAGTAAGAGCTGTTATTCAAAGACATTGTGAGTGAAGACAATATCTTAATTGTAAAAGTATATTTTGTACACTAAGCATTATTAACGAACAGAAGGGAAGAATTCATGTCACATTCGCCTTTATATTCTTCTAATATAAGCTGCTCGAATTAATGATTTTTGATATAGTAAGTATAAAAATATTTTATTGTCAAATGCTTTTAACTATTTCTACTAGAGACTCGCGGACAGACTGACTGCCACACAAATTACATTTATCCATATTGATAAAGTAATAAAACTATTTACTTTACAACATATAGAGATTATTACGATTTTGGTGGCTATTTACCAAAATCGTAATAATCTCTATATGTTCGGTCTATAGTAATATATCTGACAGATATACATGTATTATGTTAAATGTATTATATATCTGTCAGACGAAATAACGAAAAAAACAGATCGCATTGCTGCGCGTCACGTACTTTCTCTATCTTTTTTAAATTTGTTATAATATTTTGGAAAAAAAGTTTTAAATTTTTCTTAAACGACACTCGAAACTCGAATGTTTTTTTTTTTTTTTGGAATTGCCGAAAAATGTACATAATATATAAGGTGAACGTTTGTTTGGCTAGATATCACGTCCGACATGTAATTGTTGTCGCATGCGCGATGCGATGAGTCACCGAGTCAGGTGCGGGCAGCGGGTTGTGAGTCGCGTCGCCTGACGCCCCCACCCCCCGGAAACCCGTGCCGGACCTTTATAAAATGGCGGCCACGTTGAGCGAGGCGCACACGCACACGCACAGCGCGCCCGCGCCCCTCCCCGCCCCGCCCCGCCCCGGCCGCCTGGGACCGTTATGGCAATATCGCAACGCTCTCAGTGTGAACTGAATGACAAAGATGTTGTCCGCGACATTTCCTTTGTGTTATTGTAACTAGGTGCTGTGCTGTGCTGCCCAATGATTCTCATTTTTGTCAGGCGGCTGGCTGAAAAACAAACCGTTCCATTGAAAATATAGATTTGTTTGTTTACATTTAAATTCTGATGACATGTGTGGCGTACTATCGCTTGTTTAGTAAGTCGCGTATCCCATATCCCATGTCCAATAGCGCAGCCAGACGAGCCGACAAGTACACATAGGAACTGTGGGCTCAATTTCATTTACACAAAATTAAGCTTTGGTGTTTTTCTTGTAAATGTTCCCTGCTGTTTTCTTCCGTATATACTTTATGACAGCTTAAAATAAACTGAATAAATAGATTTTACATCATTATTTCGGGATTGTGTTATTTATTTAACACGTAACCAAAGTTTTATATAATTAAACACATTAAACTTTTATTGTAGTGTAATAACTGCTTATTGAAGTATGCCGGAAACATCTAGTACCATACTAGTTTCATAGAAACTTTGTTCTAGATTTTATAACAGTGGGATAGACTGCCGGATCTGATCATGGCGACACTCAAATAAACGAATCGCTTCCTGGTGCGACGCGGCTGCTAAATAAGCGCTTCTGATTTTTTTATATTATAAGGTTAAAACAAGCAAGCGGCTACCAGAATTCGCCAAAATAGCGAAGCGACCGCTATCTACAGGCATCCGTAATACAAATACATGACCTACCTTTAATTGACAGGGAAGGAGACTCACGGAAAGTATATATTCTCCTTGCTATCCCTCCTCTCCCCTGTTAGATCCACTTCCCTCGATGGCAAAAAATTCATATATCTTAAAAATAGATATATCCTGTACAATCTTAAAACAACATTAAAAAGCTTTTGTACATTACTAGCTGTCGCCCGCGACTACGTCTGTCAGTAATTAAAAGAAACTTAATAACTATGCCAAGTTTCATCAAGATCCGTTGAGTCGCTCCTGAGATGCCGTCTAACGAACACTATCCATACATACAAACTTTCTCATTTACAATATTAGTAAGAAGTAAGATAAGTTGATTAGGTTCCGCGGATACCTAAAATTATGTTGTAAGCAGCGCAGCCCGTCCTGTGAAATTGCAAGCCGCCATAATATTTCCATGCCACAGTCCTTAACGCAATGCCGTCTATTAAAATGACAAATTAAAATTCGCCGCGTTGAATATGTCTTGATGAGGTTACGCGCAGTGCCGCTACTGCTAGGTGCTCGTGTTTAAACATGTGCTAGCCGAATGCCCTATCAGAGGTCAGGCGCGCATCGCGACTACCACTTACCACTTTTATTGATTACCGAGGTGGTCTGTTTTGTATTGTTTTGTGTCTAGTATCTACATATTAATATGGGCTGGACGAGTCGAACAGAAGAATACGAAACTTTACGCCACTGGCACAGTGTTTTTTAACAAATCAGAGTGCCCTGGCTATCGACGTATTGTGTGGTAGGCTCTACTCTTTATAACATGGTGTGGAGAGCGCGTGCAATGCGCAGCGCGCGGGCACAGCTCGCCCACGCCTCGAGCCCGGTCTAATCGGAGCCTCGAGACAATTTGTGTCGCAGCGCAACGTTCAATGTATACACGATGCGATAAATGGCGTATAATCTCTGAACCCCTTAAAATATGTCTTTAAGGTTTTACGTAAGTTAAACCGTTACGAGTTAAAAAAGATGTATGAGAGAATTGTATTATAGCTCTCAGAAAGTTTACCAAAAAGAGTGCGATGACTATATCTCTCCTCGTATTGTACGGTTTTCTTATAATAACTACTGTTTCAATATACAGGGTGGCCCATAAGTCCTTTGAAAAGTAAAATTTGAATAAAACGAACAGGGCGCGCGTGAGCGGTGCAGGGGAAGCGGGGGAAGTAACTTCGGTTTCTGGGAATTTAGTCGCGATGGAGCGTTTTACCGGAGCGGACCGTGCGTTTTGTGTGCGCGAGTTTTATAAAAACGACAATTCGGCAACCGTTGCGCGGCGTAAATTTCGAGAATACAAAGGTTTACACAACTTTGACGACACTCCAACTCTTCAAACGATTAAGAACTGGGTTGCTAAGTTCGAGGAGACCGGTTCGACGTTAGATAAACCGCGGTTGGGTTGCCCAAGGACGTCACGTACGGAACAAAACATAGACACAGTGACACAGTCTATTCGCGAAAATCCGACACAGTCAACTTGTAAGCGCGCCAGAGCATTAAACGTATCCAGGACATCGTTACAACGGATTTTGAAGAAAGATTTACATATGCACCCTTACAAAATTCAGTTGGTTCAAGAATTAAAGGAAACTGATGGTATTCAAAGACAAAATTATGCGAATGAAATGTTGAATCGGTTTACTTCCTTCAACAACATAATGTTCTCTTACGAGGCTCATTTCCATCTTAACGGGAATGTTAGTAAACAAAATTGCCGCTATTGGAGCCCCATCAATCCAAAACTTAAGCATCAGAAGCCCTTACATAGTCCGAAAGTGACTGTTTGGGCCGCTATGTCAGCCCATGGTATCCTAGGGCCTTACTTCTTTGAGGATGGCAGAGGGCGCGCAGTTACTGTTACGTCGGAGCGATATGTGGCTATGATCGAAGAGTTTTTCATACCAGAATTGCAAAACTTTTCAGGCTTTAATGCCAGGACGTGGTTTCAACAGGATGGGGCCACTTCTCACACCTCTAACACTGCTATGCCCGTTATCCGTCAACTTTTTCCTGGCAAAGTGATCTCTAAGAGAGGAGACATTTCCTGGCCTCCACGTAGTCCAGATCTGACCCCGATGGATTTTTTTTTGTGGGGCTACCTTAAGGCTAAAGTATACGACACAAACCCGCGGTCAATTGAGGCCCTAAAAGAAAACATCCGCAAAGAAATGACAAGCATTTCAGCAGTGACGTGCCGCGCAGTCATCGACAATTTTAGACGTCGTTTGCAAGAGTGCCGTGATCGCAACGGATTACATTTAGAAAATGTTATTTTCAAAAAATAATTCCCGTTTTTTAAGCTTTTTTTGTAAATAAAAATTTAATTCATAATGTAATTAGTTTTATTTTAATATTTTTTTTTTCATATCAAAGGACTTATGGGCCACCCTGTAGTATGTAAAAATCGCATGGTGTTTAGGGCTCTACCTGTTTTAATATTAATCCTTATCAAAAATAATTTGTTTCTTTTTAGGAGAATTTAATGTTAGAATAATTAATTGCCTTTTGTATAATATAATAGTATAAATACCGTAGCCGAAAAGTCAGCGCACATACCGGGGGCGCCAGTATTTTCAAAGCTTTAACTACTTCTTTACCGGGCGAAGTCGGGCTAGGTCACAAGCTTAATATTATTTGAATGAGACATGAAAGATTCAGGTGAGATATGTTGTGTGAGGACGTGGCTACCAGATGATCGCACCCGGCGCGGCGCGGCACGGCGCGGCGCGGCGTCTGGCAGGCGCGGCGGCGGGCGCGGCCGTCACTTCATTGATGCGCGTTCGGGTCAACGAACCAAGATCCGTGTTATTTTTTCATGTTACTTTTGCGTACATCTAATCATTATTACGTTAAATTGATTTCTGAAGCCATTTACCCGCGTGCAAGATTTCTCAAAACCACTCAGCCACAATATAAAAATAAGTGTGCATATAAAATAAACATGTATGAATAAGTGTTTTCTGGGACTCTTCGATAGTAAATGCTTTCGACTGTAGATAGGCTTTATGTTGTAGTTCGTTGTGTTTGACATTTTCTGAAGCTACATGGTGAAAGCGCTAACATATCCGCACTTTATATTATTAGCGAGTCCGTACGCTCGGAATCAAAAGAAAACTAAATAAAGCCTATGTGTTCTTCCAGACTGTGCAATCTACATCTATGTCAAATTTCAGCGAGATCCATGCAGCTGTTCTGGAGATACCTTCAAACAAACATCCACTCATCCATCTGCTCATTCGCACTTATAATAGTGGTAAGATTAGTAAGATTTTAGTAAGTTTGGGTGGAAATGATGCCGTCGATACTAGTTTGTTACAAACATATTATAAAAATAGATTCAACATACAAATCCATAACTATTCAAAAGTTATCCTTTTGGATTCAAGGAAGTCATGGCGAGATACATTATAGGATCGTGACAGCGTAACAGAGTTCGGAAAGAGCGGCGGGCGCCCTCAAGTCGGCGCTATCTTTAGCCGGGGTCAAGGTGGGTCACCGTTGCCGCCTGCAACTCGCCGCTCGCACACCTCCCGATGTTGGCGTAATGTGACACACTGTTTACCTCTTAGCATTAAGGCATGAGGCGACCGGTCCTAGAATAGGTGTGTCCATGCGATAAAAGCGCCGGCACCGGTCTAGCAAATGAAGATAAAAAACCCAAATATTAAAAGGGTTTCTTCATGAAGATTTCATTAAAAAAATTAGAAGGCCTATGAGTATCATAAGCTCTTGATATGGATCATGTTGGATCGTGATCCGGTGGCTCCGCAACTGGGGCGATCCACCTGTTCCTTAGGTTAATACTGGGAAATGTCGGCACATGTTCAGTCGGTGGTCTGACATCATGCGGCGCCATACATTTGACCGTCAATCGACGCCGCAGCCCGCGCCCGCGCCCGCCCCCGCCCCCGCGTACATATTACACAAGAGCTTTTACGCGCGGTTGAAGCAAATCAAAAATAAAATAACACAGATTACGTACTTATAAAGTTAGTGAGATTTAACAAACACTAAACATTGAGTGAAAGTTACAGATTTCAATTATGCATTAAAATATACATACATGATAAAGAACGCGCAACTATCTTCCACAGACGTAATAAGTTGAATGCGCGATGATAATAGACGACTCGCGACGCTCGGCTATGCTCGGCTCGGCTCGCAGACGGAGCAATGAGCATTAGTTATTTATATGCAATTAAATGTACTGACATAAGATCGGCAACAAAATATTAGTCAAGTGAGCGTTGGCCTTAAGTTTACATACACGATTATACAGTACTGGATGTTATTATTTTTGCAAAAGTTTTGTTGGACTGCAGTGTTACGGCAAGTTGCGCCAATGTCGTTTCACTTTTGGGCCCAGAATGAGAGATCACAATTTTTTTTTAAATTTTTACCATACGTAGCTGACATATCTTTGGTTTTACCCAAAAACTTAGGATTCACTCTAATTCAGACTTATGAAGGAACATTAGGCATGGATAAAAAACTATTTCTGGAGCCCTTAATTTGCCCCTTTTGACTTCCTTCTTCCCTTACTTTTTAGCCGACTTCAAAAAGAAGGAGGTTATCAATACGTCTGTATGTTTTTTTTGTGTGTGTTACCGCGTAACTTCGCCCCTGGTGCTTCGATTTTGAAATTTTTTTTTGATCGAAAGGTTTTGCTTGCAGGTGGGGCCAATTTTTAATTAATTTATAAGTAACGTAAACATGGTGTATGAAACAATTGTAGCTCGTTAAATTTGCTAGATTAAAGTCCGCCATAGCATATATCTATCTTAAATTATAGTTTTTTCACAATAACCATTTTTTCTGGAAAAACATCAATTAATTTCATGCGCTACTTTCGACGCTATTATTCGAGTTTGATATAAACCCTTATGGAAATAAATATGTTCATTATCAAGAGAATTTAATGCAAACTATATTTGCCCTTTGAACAATATAACTCTGTTTTTTTTTATTGTATCACTTTATTTGGGACATCATCATATTTCGCTAGGAAGGGTTTTACTGGTGCGAGGAAAACAAATCAGACTTATATGCTTCGTCATCCGGGCAAATTACACAATGAAAGCGTTTTTTTTTTATTATATTTGCAGATTGTCAGCGTGGAGCAGGTTGTGTTGGCATGGCGGGCGGCCGGCGGCTGCGCTGCGTCGCGCTGCTGCTCGCGGCGGCCGCCTGGTGCGCCGCTGGACCCGGCCCGCCCGCGTTGCGCTTTCCGCGCGCGCTCTATAACCTTACTGTGCCGGAGAACTCTCCGCCACGCACCTACGCTGAGCCGCCGCCCGGCGCCGATCACCCCGCGCATCCCGCCCTGCCGCTGCCCAGCCCCGACACCAAAATCCGCTTTCGCATCCGTCATGGTGACCGCGATAAGTTCTTCAAGGCGGAGGAGCGAATCGTGGGAGACTTGTGTTTCCTTCTCATTCGCACGCGAGCTGGACACACCGACGTACTCAATCGTGAGCGCCGCGACACCTACCGGCTGGACGTGCGCGCCACGGCGCAGTTGTCTGATGGCACGCAACTCGAGGCGGACACGGTGCTTGTCGTCGAAGTCACCGACGAGAACGACCTCAGTCCGCTTTTCTATCCTACGGAGTACGAAGCGCTCGTGCCGGAAGACACGCCCTTACACTCTAGCATCGCTCGCGTGACCGCGGAGGATGCCGACCTAGGTATAAACGGTGAAATTTACTATAGCCTCGCCGAGATGACCGATCGTTTCGCAGTACATCCTAGCAACGGCGTGGTGACGGTGACGAGCGCTCTGGTGGCGGCCGTGAAGACTCGTTATGAGATCACCGTGTTGGCTCGAGATCGTGCCTCTTTGCTAACGCTCGGCGAAAATGCACCCGCCGCCCGAGCTACGCTCACGATTCGAGTGGCCCCCGTCAACCTACACGCTCCCGAGCTGCGCGTGCGTCGTTTGCCCGAACTCGTCGAAAACTCCACTGCAGAGATATATGCGATAGTAGAAGTGACCGACCGAGATGTCGGCGAGCACGGCCGGATCGCGGGCCTCGAGATCGTCGACGGAGATCCTGACGGTCACTTCCGTGTGCGTCCTTCCGAGCAGCCGAACGAGTACGACATCATGGTTCACGCGCTCCTCGATCGCGAGACTTCTCCGCGAGGCTACAACCTCACGTTGCGCGCGTTGGACGCCGGCCATCCTCCTCGCGCCTCTTACCTTACGCTACCGGTGACGCTCTTGGACGCCAACGACAACGCACCTGTTTTTAGTCGTGAAATTTACGAGGCCAACGTTCCGGAGACGGCACCGCCGAATACACCGGTCATCAGACTTAAAGTGAGCGACCGCGACGAGGGTCGCAATGCCCGGGTGTACATTGAGATCGTGGGCGGCAACGAGGGCGGCGAATTCTTCGTGAATCCCGATACTGGCGTGCTGTACACCGCGGTGCCGCTCGACGCTGAACAAAAATCACTTTATACACTTACGGTCTCTGCAATCGACCAAGGCAACGCTGGAACTAGAAAACAATCTTCGGCCAAAGTGAAAATAGGCATCGTGGATGCTAATGACAATAATCCAGTTTTTGACCGGGACGATGTGGCGGTAACACTACCAGAGAACGGGCCGACTGGCGTGGTGGTCGCCAGAGTGTCGGCCAGAGACGCTGACTCCGGCGAGAACGCTTATATATCCTACAGTGTGGCTAATCTACAACCGATACCGTTCGAAGTGGACCACTTTTCGGGTGCCGTGAGGACAACTAAACTGCTCGACTACGAAAGTATGCGACGCGAATATATTCTGAGAATACGCGCAAGCGATTGGGGGCTACCTTACAGACGTCAAGCTGAAATGCGACTCACAGTTCGCCTCGAAGACGTCAATGACAACAGACCGCAGTTCGAACGTGTAGATTGCGTCGGCTACCTGCCACGACGGTTGGCGATAGGCTACGAAATTGTGACGCTCTCCGCAATCGACTTCGATTCCGGCGATGTCGTATCATACCGACTAGTGAGCGGTAACGAGGACAACTGTTTCGCCCTGGATTCCGGTACCGGCGTCGTGAGCCTGTCTTGTGACTTGGCAGATGTCCGCGCTGACACCAGAGTGCTGAACGTGACCGCAACGGACGGTACGCACTTCGCCGACCCGACGTCTCTCACGCTACACCTGGTGGGTGGCGCGGGGGTCGGTGCGAGCGCCGGCGACGTGGGCGCGCTCGAGTGCCGCGACACCGGTGTGGCTCGACGCCTCATCGAGCTGCTGGCCGCGGCGGAACGAAGTAACGCTCCCATAGATTTCACTGAAGATTTTCCACTTGCTCCCTCTCGTTATGGTGAAAATCTACATGTACCCGAATTCATAGACTTTCCCGTCGAGGTTAAAGTAAACGAGTCCGTGGCGCTGGGGACATCGCTAGTGCGACTGCGCGCTCGCGACCGGGACCTTGGCTACAACGGCCTGCTGGTGTACGCCATATCGGGCGGCGATGCGGACTCCGCCTTTCGTATTGACCCCGACAGCGGCGAACTTAAAGTCATTGGGTACTTGGATCGTGAAAAAGAGCATGAATATTATTTAAATATCACCGTTTACGATTTGGGCGTGCCGCAGCGATCCAGCTCCCGATTGCTCCCCGTCACCGTGCTCGACGTAAACGATAACGCTCCCAAATTCGTTAAAACCTTATCCAGTTTTCGCGTAACCGAAAACGCTATTAATGGGACGGTAATATTCCGCGCAAACGCGACGGACCGCGACGCAGGGGAGTTCGCGCGCATCGAGTACAGTGTGATCGGCGCTGGTGCCGGCGAGTTCTGCGTGGAGCGCGAGTCGGGCCTGCTGGCCGTGTGCGCGCCGCTGGATCGCGAGCGGCATGCGCTCTACGAGCTGAGCGTGCGCGCCACAGACGGCGGCGGGCTGCGCGCCGAGGCGCTTGTGCGCGTCGCAGTCGATGACGTCAACGACAACGCGCCTCGCTTCGCCCTGCCGTCGTACAGCGCGCGCGTACGCGAGGACGTGCCCGTGGGCACACCCGTGGCCGTACTCGAGGCGTTCGACCCAGACCTGGGCGCCGGCGGGCTGATCACTTACTCCTTGCCCGACCAGGCCACTGACGACGTCGTCTTCACCGTCGATAGCACTTCAGGCACCGTGCGCACCGCGAAGCGGCTGGACTACGAAGAGAAACAGGTTACTGATGATAATACATAATTTTTTTCGAATACAACACAAATTCCCTTTAAAATAAATGTGTAAATCCACAAATGGTATCTCTGCTAATACCTGTCTTGACGTAGTTCCGAGTAGCGGGAGCACGAATGTTAAAATGGATGTGTGGGTAACACAAATGTATGAGATAAGAAACGAGAATGTATAAGAATATGTGAAAGATGTGTTGTTTGAAAGAATCGTATATAATAAAGTATGAATGTGCAAGGGTTTGCCGATCGGGGTAGGCCTAGGAAGAAGCGGGGATGTATTGTGTGAAATGTGACACTACAAAAATAGAAGCGACAAATGAAACGACGGAAGATAGATTATGATGCAGAGCTCGGAGCAACCGCGGTCGTTAGTCGTGGCAATGAGATGCACGGACTGTCCGGGTCTCTATAAGCGGTGATTGTGCTTGTGGTAGGTGTACGGCGTGGCGGTGCGCGCGACGGACGGCGGCCAGCCGGCGCTGTGGGCCGAGGCGACGCTGGTCGTGGAGGTGGGCGACGTGGACGAGAACCGGCACACGCCCGTGTTCGCAGAGCGCGCGGCGGTGGCCCTGGCCGTGCGCGAAGACGCGGCGCCGGGCGCGCGAGTAGGCGCGCTGCTGGCGCTGGACGCCGACCCTCCGGGACGCGACTCCCGCCTCACCTACTACGCGCTCGACGGCCCCGGCATGGCGTATTTCACCATAGACGACACCGGTTGGTGCTCTTGCATTATAGAGACCGTTTATTTCCTCCATGCGTCGCTCTGCGATCGGTCATTATTATATAAATATGTCAAAAATTCGAATTTTAATATATTGTTAACTTATGTAGGATATTTTAGAGACACCTGAGGTTTATGCTCCAAAACGTGGAAAGAAGATGTTTTATTTTTTAATGAGACTTTTTGCTCGCACTACGACACCGTTGTATGTACTTATTTAATAGGAATGAAAATAAAACTTTGTAAATTTAAATAAAAGTGAAATTGTTTGCGAGCGCAGGGGTGGTCCGCACGCTGGCGCCACTGGACCGCGAGCGCGCGCCACACTACTGGCTGACGGCGTGCGCGGAGGACCACGGGCTCGTGCCACGCCACACTTGTATACAGGTAACGACGAGTGCCGGCCGCCGCGCGCCAACGGCAGTGCGGCGCTGCGGCACTGACGCGTCCGGTGTACAGGTGTTCGTGGAGGTGCTGGACGTGAACGACGTGGCGCCGTGGCCGGAACGCGCGGCGTACTTCGCGCGCGTGCCGGAGCACTGCGCGGCGGGTACGCGCATCGCGGTTGTGCGCGCGCCCGACGGCGACGCCGAGCCGCGCCCCGTACGCTACTCCATCGTGGCCGGCAACCCCGACGGCCTGTTCGCCATCGATGAGCGCACCGGTACCGGCTTTTCGTCGTTCATACTAGTCATGACCCCAAAATAGCATCGGATTATATTCAATGCTTCCCTTATGTCTAACAATGTTCCAAAATGTAAGAGAGTCTAATTTAATTTTGTAAATAAAACATCTAACTGATGTATAAAGCTTGTTCTGTTGTGCTTGTGAGATTATACGTGATGTGATGATGGGACACAGGCGAGATTGTGACGTCGGGGCGAGCGCTGGACCGAGAGGCGGCGAGCGCGCACGCACTGGAGGTGCGCGCGTGGGACGGCGCGCTGGCTGCTGCGGTGCGCGTGCGCGTCGACCTCACCGACCTCAACGACCACGCGCCCGCTTTCACGCAGCGCTTCTACGACCTGCGCGTGCCCGCCCCCGCCCCCGTCCCCGCCCACGCCCACGCCCAGGTCCTCTTCACTTGCTATACAAATCATTCACATTATGAGTTAGGATTACACCATTTAATTTAATAATGAATGTTGAGATTTGAAAGGGAAATATAAACATAAATTTTAAAAAAATAATATCGACTGTCCGGAATTACTACGTAAATTCAACATTAGTGTGCCTAGTAAATCTTGTAGGTACAAATTCCATCATAAGCGTTATTATATTTCATGTGCCGACTGACAAATTATTTAAGCCATTGCTATAAGTGTAGACTTGTAAATAGCTATATGTTAACTATCTTGTGTCTATTATTGTCACTTTCTAGCTGTAAGTCTACCATGTAAGTAAATAATATGTATATAAATAGGAAGAGAAAACTTATACGGTTGATTTATAGGCGGACGAAATTACAACCGAGAGTCTCGAGAGCAGCGCGGAGGGCGAGGCGGAGGTGGAGGGCGAGTCGGAGGCGGAGGGCGAGCTCGAGACGGAGGGCGACAGCGAGGCGGAGGAGGAGGTGCGAGGCGGCTGGGACGAGTGGGACGAATGGACCGAGCCGGACTCCGACTATGTTTATATTGGGACCGTAAGGAAATGTTAAGTTACAAACGATCGTCTGACCGATGTGAAGTCGATAAAGATCGAAGAGATATCGTCGTGTACGTGCGGCAGGTGACGGCGCTGGACCCGGACGCGGCCGAGAACGGCACCGTGCGGTACTCGGCGCGGGCGCGGGGCGCGGCGCGCGGCCTGCTGCGGGTCACCGCGCGCTCCGGCCGCCTGCACGCCGCGCGCGCCCTGCCGCTGCTGCGCCGCGCCTACGACCTCACCGTCAGTACCCTCCCTCTCCCGCCCTCTCCCGCCCTCTCACACAAGTTTCACAAACATATATACAGCATTGTTGAGCTATTATAAAATACAAATTTTTTGTACCTAATCTGATATGCAAAATTAAGCTTCTTTACAATATAAAGCTATATATAACATGTTTATATCAAAAATGATAATATTACAAGTTATTATACCCCTATTACATATACATCTATTTTTTTACATAGTTGAACTATATCTATATCTTGATCAAATATCATTTTTAGTTATGTTTCTAAATAAGCCATTAAACATTTTTGTTACGGGGGCGGTGGGTGCGCTGTTTTGTAGATAACTATAAACAGATTTTGCACAATGTTATGTGAGCAAACACAAAAAGTAGGAAGGCGTCGCGTCGCGATATAACGTAGTGATGTGCCGCGGCGTGCAGGTGCGCGCGTGCGACGGCGGCGCGCGCTGCAGCTTGGCGCGTGCGCGCGTGCGCGGCGTGCCGGCGGGCGGCGGGCGCGCGCCGCACGCGTCCGTCGCGCCACCGCTGCAGGCCGCCGAGCTGGACGCGCCCGGCTTCCTGCTGACGCTGCTGCAGGCCTCGGACCCGGACGGCGACCCGCTCTACTACGACATCGTCGGTCAGTTCGACACATTGATGACACAGCACTACTGGATGATGGCCACCGGGTGGACGCCGCTTATATCGAATGAAGAAATATGCCTCCATTACGCTTATTTATAACTATACACAATAGAAACGTAGAGCAATGAATTGTAAGAGTGCGTGTGTGCAGACGGCGACCCCGAGCGGCAGTGGGTGGTGGGCCGCGAGGACGGCAGCCTGGTGCTGGCGCGCCCGCTGCAGTGGGAGCGCCGCCCGCGCTACGCCCTCAACGTCTCCGTCACCGACGGCCACCGCACGCTCTACACCACTGTAAACGCTCTTTTACTTTATTTTTATGTTACATATGTCATCATCAACCCGCCCTTGTCCCTACTTCTCCATACGTCTCTATCAGCCGTCTTTTTTTCACATACATAATCTCCTTGGTTTTCGTCTTCCTTTAAAACCCTCTACTTTTAATCTCATTGAACACCGGTCAGTGTAGAGGGTATGAGTCGAATCAGTCGCGAATTCGCGGCACTAATATAGAGCCGCCATTATAAAGGGCCATCTTGTTTATGTGCACCGGTGGGCAGCAGTGGGCACCGGTGGGCAGCTGTGGGCGCGAGTGGGTACGAGTCGAGACGCATTGCAGGTGAACATAACGGTCGTGAACGACATGCACGAGGGCGGCGTCGAGTTCGAGCGCGAGCTGTACACGGTCGAGGTGTCGGAGAGCGCGCGCGCGGGCGACACCCTGCTGGCTCTGAGGGCGCGCGTGATGCCGGCGCCCGGCACCCCCCTCGGCGCCGCGCCCGAGCCGCGCCTGCTGTACGGGGTGCTGGCGGCGCGCGTACCGGCAGACGCGGCGCTGTTCCGGCTGCACGAGCTGACGGGCGTGCTGGAGCTAGCGCGCCCGCTCGACAGGTGCGCTCTCCTCACCCCACACCAAATTACACTTCTACTGTGAACATACATAATGCCAGGAAGCTCCTAGGCCTTGCGCCTCGACGCAATTAAAATTTTACGACTATCAATTCGAGTCGACTCTGGTGTGCAGGGAGACCGCCTCCGAGCACGAGCTGACGGTGTGGGCGCGCGACCAGGCGCCGCGTGCGTCCCGCGCATTCGCGCGCGTGCGCGTACTGGTACACGACGCGGACGAGCACGCGCCCGCGTGGCCGCGCCGGCTGGTGACGGCGCGCGTGCCCGCCG